AGTGTATATGTGTGTATGTGTGTGCTTATAATTAATAATAAAATGGTAACACGTTTATGGTAAATGATATGTTGCTGTATAATGCACAATCTCAAAAATAAATTTACAAATATAAAAATCACAGCAACACCAAAATATAAAAATATAGATAATAATAATATACGTATGATTGGTCCTTATGACCAAACAGAATAAATATAATAATATACGGCCCTGTTGGCCTATCCAAATAATTGTAAATACAAAAATATAATAATAATAAAGTAAAAATGACGATGCTCGGATGGCCAGCTGCTACCTATCCTATAGTATAATGATATAAATGGCGATTAGCACCCACGCACAATAATAATGTTCGGCGATTTGTGCCTTACAACAAATAAAAATTCGGGTTATTCCTTTTGATTCGCGCCTGCACAATAATAATACAATTTGGCAATTCGTGCCTTTACAATAAATAAAAATCAGTGACGGTGTTTGCTCAAGACGACGGACGGAGGAAGAAGAAAAAATAGGTCGGCTGTGTTAAACAATAATAATCACGCAGACGGCACGGCGGCGATGAAAATCTACATATTAGATAATAACTCACAATCACGTAATTAATACAAAAATAAAGACAATATAATAATATATGGGACAAACAGGTAACAGCTATATGATGTGCGTGTGGAGCCGGTCGGTGCATTAATTATAATTGGTATTAATAATATGTTGCGGCGGCAACAATAGGTATATACTATATTCTTAGTAACATATAAAATAGATGTGACATCTACAAGTATTTAATATTTTATAGATACTGATTTTTGGTAATAACTACTAAAAATAAATTACATTGATATTCTATTGATATTTAAAATGTTCTATAGAGCTATATTTCAAATAACAAACATACATGTAAATTAAAATTTATTGCAATATTACCTGGATAATTATCAGAAAAACTATTGCTATCAGCAATAGGTACTTAAAAATATGTTAAGCATAATAGTATGCATAATAATTATCGTGGTACCCGCTGCAAGCAATGATTATGCCATGATGGGAAATGTCGAATTACTGTAATAGGACTACAGGTTCATACTACTTAAAAAATAAGTCATTAATATATTATGTGAATTGTAAAATATTTTATATGTTGTATTTTAATGGTTGGAATGTATTTATTTTGAGTTTGTGATCGAATGGACAATAATATTTTTAATTTCTTTTACCTGAGTGTAGTACATTGTAATATAAAATTTAGATTAAAACGATACAGGTATAACAAGAAACATACACATTGTCGATCGCAGACGAACGGGAAACTCTGTGAAAAAGATGCCTTAAAAAGTAATTTAAATCTTTAACAACGTACTTAGCAATTCCCAAGTTTTTAACTAATAAACTATTAGACAATGAACACGAATCTGCATAAAGGTCCCCACACACTGCAGCGGCGGTGTTAAGATGAGTCTGGACAAAATTTACCGCCACCGTGGTGGCACCGCTGAGATAAAAGAATTTTACCACCACCGCTGCGGTGTACGAAGTGTACCTTAACAAAGTATTCTCGATTTCGGGTCTGTTTTCTATTAAATTATAAATTGTCATTTAATGTTCCTGGACGTTATTTTTAGTAAATAACATTAGCATTTATTCAAAACAAAATTAGCTACCTACCTATTATTGATAGTTATAGGTACTAGTGTAGAATAAAAAAAAAAATGTTAAATAATTAAAATAACTGAGAACAACAGCAACTACACTAAACACAAATTTTTAAATTTTTAAATTTTTTAAAGTTGTTACAATTTTAAAATAATTATTGATTGATAACTGATCAATTATCAATTAGCAATTGTCAACAAGAGCGTCTAAACACTGAAATGCACCGTATGCATACTAATGCTAGTAATTTGTTTCCAATATCATTAGGACTATAATAGGTACCTACTTACCTTCGGACCCAAATTTCGAGAAATACGGTGATATTAAATACGTATGTCCCTATTGAGTAAAAATTATCATATTTGTAAATTCTGGAAAATTGATGCCCATCAATATTCATTTAGCTCAAACTTGATCACTAATTTTACATCACTACCTACATGTTTGAATCATACACAATATAAACAGCAAAACCAATATATTTAAAGATACCAATATTAATACAATATTACTGAAGTCTATCAGTCCTAAGTCCGAATAACGGTGTGATCATATCGATTTTCCTAAAATATTTCCATACGTAATTTACGTATGAATAAAAAGCATTTTAGCCTCATTTAATTATATATATTTCTAAATTCAATAATTGTATACAAAATATACTAAATTGTATGTGTTAAATGTTATCAAACCAATGTATATTGTCTTGTACAATAAAAACATCAAAACACATTTGATAATTAAATGATTGTATACAATTATTCTTTATTGAAGTGAAACTTCTTTACTGAGGGCGCAAAGGCGAAAAACGTGTCAAGAAATCAAGCTCACGACATGAAATGTTGTCGTTGGTATCGAACAAAAATTTGAATAATGATTTTATAGTAGACACTTGTTGGATACAAAATTTTGAATATGGCGCGTCGTGACTGTTATGTCCCGTGCCGTAACGTTGCCATACCGGAGCGCTGCTGCTGCCTTCCTCCGGGCGCGACCTTGTTCCCCCCGGAGAGGGGACTCATGTGTCGCATAAACATAAATCTAAACCATAACCGCGCTTCTATTTACATTATATTTCATGGCGATAAGAAATGATAACAATAATGTAATGTGAACATTGACTGATTGACTACTACGCATAATGTCCGAATGTCGTGGCGGTCTTTGTGTTCGCGACTCGAGTTCTGGTCCACGGTTAACTTCTACGGTGCCGTCGCCCGACCGTTCTACGCTATGCGAGCGCGTGGATACAGCTCGGATTTGTTGTCCTCTGTGCCTAGCCTTTACGAAATATATATTTACGCAATTGCGACGAGCGCCTACGGGTGACGGTCTCGTGGTCACTCGTCATTCCCCGCGGTAACTGTATCCGAGCCTGCGTCGACCATTTCAAGGCCCTAGTCCTGTTCCTCCGAACATTATAGTACGTATAAAGTCTTGGCCCCAGTTGAGTCGACATTGGTGCAGTTGCCGCATGCCGGGTTGCAGCTGTTCATCGCCGTTCCGGGACAATTAACAGCAATTCTTCGGTGTTGAATAATAAAAGTGCTGAATTTTGGGAGTAGCGTGCCTGTAGCGTACCTATATATGTGTATTACATTTTTCACGGGAAAAATCTCAAATGTCTATGCCGCCGTACACGTATTGTGATTGTGGTAAATCCCCGAGAACAATTTTGGTTTGGCGTATTGCTAAGTATTTGAAATACACTAAAAATATACGATCAATAGTGTAAATGCTAAATGATACCCATACGGAACATAAGTTACCTCTACAACGGACTGCTTATATGGTGCTTTTAGTATTTAATTACTTTACCCGTTGGCTAAATTCAGTTGCGATGACTCTCGTATGATTTTAAGTGAGGAGACGTACACAAATCGTGTACCACGGATTGGGCTTTAATAATGTCATGTTAATTTTTTTCTAATATTTACAAAAAAGTGTGACTTAACAGAAAACTGTCCAGTCCTTCAGAAGTTACTATCTCCACATGCTCACAGTGGTTACATGCCCACATTTTAGATTCTGAGCTGAGCGGAGAAATATAAATGTATTGATTTTACACAATGATGTGTGTTTTTTTAAAACATTTTTGTGCCCGTGTATCTAAAAGTTAATGGCCGAAATAATGATTCAATTTTTAATTTCAGTATTTTACCTGGTGGGAGAGTGAATCAGGAAGTGAAAATGTATAACTCAGTAGTTTCCAAAAGCGCCAGGAAAAACAAACAAAAAATAAAGAAAAACGGGAATTGTTACGCATAATTGGTTTTCAACTACATTGATTATTGGTTAGGTTAAAAAAAAAATGACCGTACCTAGATTTTGACAGAATGTATACACTAGCATTTTGTCTACACTATACAACTTTAAAAATATTTGGACTCATCTTGAGTTATTTATGGACGTATGAAATTTCCAATTTTTATTAGTTTTTTGTAAATTAAAAAAAAGTTGAGCTTAAATTCTTACAAATTATTATTTTTTTTTTTTTTTATTTTTTTATTGAATATATACAATCTGTAAATTAGTTTTACAATAAGAATATGAGCTAAAATAAGTAAGAAGACATGATTTGCTTGATAAAAGAAGTAACCCAGCGGCTACACTTTTCATTGATTGAATTTTGAGTTAGAAATTAGCGGTTGATCGTGAAAAAAGAGGTTAAGCCATAAAAATCAAATTTTTCAGTAAAATACAATTATAAACAATTGTAACGTCAAGGAATTTTGAGCCATATTTAGTATCATTATTATCTTTTATACCAGACATCAATATTACTGTGTTTAAATATTTAAAGAACATTAATGTTTCCATAACATTATAATTGCAGTCATAAAATATTATTGAAACTTTTTTAGAATACTAAATTACCATTATTTGTCCTACATTTATTAGTTTCTTAAAATTTTATGAAATTAACATTCTGCAAATATTCTTGTATTGATCTGATTAAAACATTTTGTAAGTAATTAATACTTATAATTAATATCTATTATATCTTAAAAGCTGCTAAGTTCATCCTAACCTTTTGTTAAATAGCTAATCCAACCAAAAATATTCAAATGAATAAAACAAAGTCAAAAGTATTCACTTTGAAATAGTTTATAGTATATTAAAACAGGGATTAAAACTAAATTAAAAATAATCAAAATGGAATTAACAAATTTATAGACTCAATAAAATAACATAAAAAATGTATATTAAATAAAAAAAAAACAGATATAAAATAGGTATACTAATATAGTTATTTTCTGAAGATTTCTTAATTTTTACATTTTTATATGAGTATAAAGTGTTTTCTTCAACTGAATTTAATATATCAGTCACCGTTCGCACCGCGTACGACGCACACCTCTTTATGTTAGCTCCGCGTAATCGCCGCTGTTTTTCTTTTTTTGTAAACCGACAAGGTAAAAATTTAGCTTAATTAATAGCTAACACCGAGTGCAATCAATTATCAATAATTGAATCGACTGTTTTCCTTATTGTTCCTGTCGTACTTAAAAATGTAGTTTTTCTAATATTTGACAAGTGCGACTACCAAATTATCGTTGCGCCGCGCAGGCAACACGTTATCTCGTTCTTCGGTCAGCGGCTCGTGACCTTCGCTCACTAATTATGCCACCCAAAATAAACAACCATTTATCAAATGTGAAAAATAATAAACAAGATTAAAACACCAACATTATACAGCCTGCTCGCCTAGCAGAAATACAAAACTCTGAAATGAATAATTCAGGCCACAGCCTCCAACACAACATTACGAACAGCCCTGGAAACGGCAACTGGACTACTCAAGTAAATAAAAGAAACCATTCAAGCTCATCATCAGGTTCTTCCACCTCCAAACCTTCTTCCTCTAATAATGCACAACCAAAAACAAAAAAACTGTCATTCTCAACACGTAATCGCTATGAACCACTTACGATCGCCGAACCTATCGACACGGTTTTTGATACAGACATGGTATCCGAAGATCCAGACATCACGGTCCGTGCCAAACCACCTCCCCTGATTTTTATGAAAGGAATAAACGACTTTCCTGGCTTCTGTACAACTTTAATTGAGTTGATAGGAGTTGATAACTTCATTTGCAAAGCCACCACAGACCGCTAATAAATTCAGACCGCCAATCCCGAATCTTATAGACTTCTAATACATTATTTAAAGGAACATAACGCCAAATACCACACATACCAGCTCACTGAAGACAAACCTACGAGGATAGTCATCCGTAATCTGCACCCTACTACGCCAATTGAACTGATAAAATCTGAACTCGAGACACGCCTCTTCGAAGTCAGGCAAGTCACGAACGTCCTTCACAAGACTAGCAAGCACCCACTCCCACTGTTCTTCGTTGATTTAGAACCCACCGATCACTCTAATCAAATCTACCAATTATCTTCCCTTCTGCACACAAAAATTAAGGTTGAAGAACCATACAAGCCTAAGTTAATTAGCCAATGTCAAAATTGCCAAGATTACGGCCACACCCGGGCGTATTGTGGTTACTCAGCACGCTGTGTCAGATGCAGCGCTCATCATCCTTCGTCCGAGTGCACTAAGTCGCCCGACACCCCTGCTAAATGTGCACTATGCTCCGGAGATCATCCAGCCAACTACCGTGGTTGCAGCGTCTACAAAGAGCTCCAACGCCGAAAAACGCCGACCACTAAAAGTAATTTCTTACATGATACTATCAAACCAAATGTTAAACCTCATAAAGTCATAATGTAAAAGAAAGCCACCCACATGCTACCCTTTTGGAAAAAAATGAATTCAACCCTACAAAAACTTATGCACAGGCCACAGCTAGTCAACCATCTCAACCTTCTCCTCCCTCTGACCTAACTCAACTCATGTCCTCCATTATTTAATATTGTCACTTTTCAATTTAAAAAAAATATAAACTTTCATTACTAACAATTAGGTAGATACATACCTATAAAGTATAATAGGTATTAAAGAAAAAAAATAACAAACTCAGTAACAATAAAATATAATAACATTAATTCATAAACAGTCTATTAATATGTTTATCCAGTCTTAGGATTTCTGTCGGTATATACATAGATACCTATATAAAAAACAATGACAAACTTATTATTGAACAACTTGTAACTTTTGATTTTGATTTCATAATAAAAACAATTAAATAGAAAATATAGTTTTTCAATTAAAATAGAATATACTAAAAAGATTGAAAACGATGCATAAAGGAACATGGTAATATTATTTATAATTTAAAATTTAAATAATCATAATACCTTTTTCAACTAAAGGTAGTGAAAAGCTGGATCTTTATCAGAGTCATACAACAAACTCTCAGTTTCAGAGTTTGAATTTGGAGCTGCAGCTATTGTAGAGTTATCAACCGGTCTACTTCTTGTTTCTAATATGAAAAACGCATTTATTAAAAAATAAATTAAAATTATAATAAGTCTTAGATAATCAAATAATAACACTTACCAACATGTCTCAAAGAGGGATGACTCTATTTTGTTTTTATTTGATGGAATATTACTACTTTTACTATGTCTAATTTTGTGTCCTCATTAGTAGATAGATCAGATATATAAACTGTTTTCTTTGATTTTTTATGAGCATCTTCTAATTTTTCTAAATAAATAATGAATAAAGATACAGGGTTATTCAAAATGATTAATTCGATTTCAGATGCTCATATAGTTTTATTTTTTAGGTTTAGAACAATATGGTATACATTAGATAACAGAAAAATATGTCAAGTTTAATTAACTGTACCTATCAATGTTTTATGTGAACTCCTTTGGTTATACGAATAACATCTAGTCGTTCCACTTATTCATCGGATATACTAGGTTGGCCTGTGCTTTTTCCCCTGCACGAACACAATGTTTCTTCAAACTGCTTGTAGTAACATCGACGTATACTCCGAGTAGTTTGTGCATCAATCCCGTAATGACAACGAAGAATATCGCGTTTCACTGTTATTGTCGATTCACACTTCGAAAAACGCTACACACAAAATGCTTTGTGGTGTCCGGTCAACAAAATTGGGGAAATTAACTTATCGCCGGACTCGATTATTTCAAAATAATGAATTAATGAAATTTTAAAACTTGAGAATATCCTCCATTAATTAGTATATCATTTGATAACATAAAGTCTATTATTAACCATTACATAGCCATTATAAATGGGATAAATCATTTTGAATTACCTTGTATAATAACCCTTAGTCATGTATCAGGGATTACTTTAGTATTTAATATGTATATTGCATATAAGTTTTATTATTAATATACATTTTTTACCACATGATCTCCAAAATGTTCTATATTTCATCCATCCAAAATTGATGGAAGTTTTTGTTTCTCAAAATACCATGAAGTATCAATGGTAGATGAAGACAGTGAAATATATGATTTGGATTTGGAGTATGAACATAATAATGAGGGTGGTAGTTTAGAAGAATGTGCCGTTATTTATTATGCAGGATATTTAGCAATGAAGTGTTTGAAAAAATTTGACTGAAAAGTGTCGAGTAACATTATAACACCCTGACAAAATGTTGAATGACAAGAATCAACTTTTGTTAGTTCATAAAACATACAATGTAAACTTTGATATTGATAAAGGATTAAAAGTACCATCAAAACAGTTAGAAATATTCACTAAAATATGTCTAGATACATTTAAGACTAAATTTCCTATTGTTAAAAGCCACAGTAATCTATTGAGCAAGTTAATGGATTTTGCAACCACAAATATGACACGCTGCTCCAATATCAACATCCAAGATGAATGTTCAACACATTATAAATATATAATGAAATTGTTATTTGTAGTAAGAATTCACAAAGAATGTAAATGGACAAGAAATAACAATAGAACCTTCATATATAATGGTATAAATAAGCCAATGCTAAACTCAGGAATATTCAGAACTTATAAATAATTAACATAAATGTAACAGGTTATTTTATTTCTTAAATATTAAACCTTTTAAATTTCAAATTAGGTTTATAGTAAATTTATATTATATTTTACATTTAGGTATTGACATTTGTTAAAAAAATAATTCAATTAATTTAATTTTCATTTAAACTCTACATCAGTTTCAAAATTATTTTAAATTTACATAAACTTATACTTTTATTTTATATTCTGAGCGGAGCGATGCATGATTGATTTTATAATGATGTGTTTTTTATTTTGTGTGTGTGTCATCACCGTTTTGGGCAGTTAATCTGCTTCGCTTTTTTGTCAAAATTTAAAATTACCAATAGTTTTCAAAAGCGCAAGGAAAAACAAAAGAAAAATGAAGGAAAAACGTGAATTTCTAAGCATAATCGGTTTTGGTTTTTGGTGTAACTCTAAAACAACCCACCAAAATAAAAATATTATATAAATCATTTTGAATATAAATACAAAAGCGAAAAAGGTCAAGATTATAAGATAAAATATATGTACTTGATTCAAAATTTTAGAACTTATGATGATGTGGTCACCCATCCAAAAAAATAAATAATGAGTTTAAGTGGGTTCAATCTAAACTAACAGAATATGAATACAAAATAGATGTACAAATAAAATTGTTATTTTAAAAACAACTGAAAATCGTTAAAACGGTCACCCATCCAAAAAAAAAAAAATGCATTTGAAATTTGAATAAAAATATATTCATAGATCGAATAAGTAGAAAATTATATTAAGGAAACACAGTTTTAATTTGCCAAATTTTAAAACCAGTCTAGAAGTGGTCACCCATCCAAAACAATAAATAATGAGTTTAAATAGGTTCAATCTAAACTAACCGAATATGAATAAAAATATAAGTTTAACTGTTTTCCACAAAACAGGTTCTTGAAAATCGTAAAAATATTTTTGAAAGCGGGCACCCATCCACGAAAAAGTACACTGTATTATTACATAATGTCACTCAAAGTCTTATAATTTTAATAAGATAATCATTAAAATAAAATGTTTTAAATAATGTCGATTTTAAGTCTTTGAGACGGTCACCCATCCAAAAAAAATGTGTTTTTAATTAGTAGTTAAAATAAAATACGAACATTAATTTTGAAAAAATTGTATTGACAAAAAGCCGATTTTCTACAATGTCAGAAAAATGTTTAGATGGTCACCCATTCAAACAATATATTTATAAATAATAAAATATACACCTAATAACAATATTATTATTATTAAGTAATCACTAAAAATTTAATTTATTTGGGTATGTATTTTATGGCAATAAGACGACTGTAAATGGCAACATGTCATCGTTCGATTTGGCAACGTCAAGTGATGAGCAGGTGCGTCTAGCGCGTCAAATAAATTATTATGTAAAACAATAATATTATAAAAGTAATTTTATTATTATTATTATTTTACTGCGCCTATTAAAAAATAAAGTAATATTGTTAATTACTGGTAGCGCGCTCTATTGCCAGCGACATTGAACTAATCTAGCGTAGCATAAAATATCGAGCACTGTTTCTCTATACTATCTATACTCAATGATATATTGGCCTCTTATAGGAAACCTTCCTGCTCGCTACAAATTGATTCGTTTGGGTAAAGCTCAGCCTAACAACACTCGCCCCCTGAAAATTATTCTCGAGTCCAAAGAATGTGCCACTAATATATTATACAGCTATTATGATGTTAAGAAAAGTGGTATTAATCTTCCACCTAACTTTCGCATTGCTAAAGATAAGACTCTCCTTCAACGGACCCTACTGCGTAACTGCCACTCTGAACTTGATCGTAGAACTCAAGCCGGCGAAGTCGGACTACGTATTGCTCATTTAAATGGTCTCCCAAAGGTTGTGTCTCACCACCATAAGGATNTAAGGTTGAAGAACCATACAAGCCTAAGTTAATTAGCCAATGTCAAAATTGCCAAGATTACGGCCACACCCGGGCGTATTGTGGTTACTCATCACTAGGGTGGCCCTTATTTATGAACTTTCAAATTTTTAATTTCTCACCCTCACAATTTTTTCATAACCATATAAAAGTTATGTGGGTAAAATTTGGGGATGATTAATAATCCCCTTCAGGTGCCGCAAGAGGGTTGAATATTCACCAAATAGGGTAGTTTTAGGGTTATTCTGATTTAATTCATTATATATTGCATTTAGCATAAAATTGTAAAGGACCTAAATTGTAGATTCAGGTACTCTCTATAAAAAACGTTCAAACAAAGTTTCTCGTAAATCTATTATTTTCTGTAAAAATTAGAATAAAATAAAAATTATTACCTTTTTCTGAAAAAAAAAAAAAAACGACATTTTCCATTTATTCTCTATATGATTGCTTTTACGATACTTACAAATCTTCAAAGATGAAATAAAATAAAATTGTTTAAAACTTATGTACTAAAACTAATTTTACAGATATATATGTCCTGTCCTTATCATTTTTCGGAGGACTGTCCCCTACTCGGTTTTAATATATCTCTGTTACGAGAGTGTAACGAAACGTGTCTAATAACTGCGTTATCTTACGACTAGATAAGAAATTAAAGAATACCTACCTAATGGATAGGTTCACTGCATGACACTTTTAACGAAATGGATGACATTTTCTTCAAATGTGCGGTGTAAAAACGGTTCGCGCGCCCGCTCAAAGGTTAAATTATATCTTATCTATATTTGTACATTTCTTATCGAGCTTTTCTTATTCAGTTATTACACACTGTCACTTCGTGCATCATTGTCGTCTGTTTGTGTAGGTACTGTTCATTGTTCAATGTTCATAAATCGCGATACCGTATATCATTTATGCTTTAAATTATTTTATTTACGAATAATATTTTGAAAAAAATGCATGTTCTATAAATTAATATTGAATATTTATTATAAAATGGCTTCATCGTCATCAAATGTTGTTTTACGTACGCATGATGAAGTATATTTAGTTGGAAATGTGAACAACCAAATTGTTGGCAGTAAGTTACCATCTATCAAACAAGTTTTGAGTGTGCTATTTTATAATTTGAGACATGTAAAATTGAATTTGCGGGAAAGTGCAAGATTGGTATTTAAAGAAATAGTATTATTTTGGCAAAAAGCGAGAATACCAGTTCGAGATGAACAGCATTGTATTTTAAAATTGGAAAAATTATATCAAAACTTACGAGAGTTACAAAAATCGGCTAAAAGAGCATCAGAAAAAAATACTAAAAATGTCAATGAGTTCAAGGAAAAATTAAATGACCTATTTGATGTATCTCATTCAAATGCATTAAATATGATGAAAATTGAGGAAGATAAAAATTTTTTACTAATGCAAAGACAAAAGGGAAGACCGGGATGCATGTTGGGAACTGATAGAAATTTGGCAAAAAAAGAAAATAGGGCCTTTGTCAATTTACATAAATCCGAACAACGTCGAAAAAAAGCGAAAATAGAAATTGAACAAATAGGTAAGTAATTTTGATGAATTTACAATTTAAATAACATATTATAAAGTACTATTTAGTATTTTTTACTAATTAAAAGTATATTTAAATTTAATTTGTTTAGATCACACCGTACAAATAGATTGCAGTTCAACTGAAGAAGAGGTTGATATTGAAGAAGAATACATAACGCCAAGTCCACCAAGTCCATCATGTAGTAAGAAACAGAGAGGATCAAGAGATTTTATGACTCCTAAACTACTCGCTGCATTAGATAAATGTAAGTTGAGTGATCGCGATGCTGTTCACATAATAATATCAACTGCTGAAGCCCTAGGTAATGATGTTTCTAAATTAATAATTAATCGATCAACAATTCAACGTGATCGAATAAGGTTTCGAGAAAATAAAACGATTGAACTTCAAAAAAAATTTAATTTGCTAGAAAAAGAGTCTCTTGTCTTACACTGGGATGGAAAACTTCTACCAGATATTACATATGGAAAATCAAAAGTAGATAGGTTACCTGTAATTGTTTCGTTTGAGGGAATAACTCAATTACTTGGTGTGCCAAAGCTCAAAAGTGGTACTGGAGAACAACAAGCAAATGCAATATTTGATATTATAAATGATTGGGGTGTAACAAATAAAGTACAAGCTTTATGTTGTGATACGACGGCATCAAACACGGGTCGGTTAAATGGTGCCTGTATTATATTGGAACAACTGATAGGACGAAATCTTTTATATTTACCTTGTAGGCGACATATATACGAATTAGTGCTAAGAAGTGTTTTTGAAATTAAATTAAAAATAAATACTATTGGTCCTGATGTTCCTATTTTTAAAAAATTCCAACAAGCCTGGCCCGAAATTGACTTAAAAAAGTATGAAATTGGAATAAATGATGCAGTTGTAAAATCTACAGTTGAAACAAAAAAGTCTCAAATTATAGACTTCTGTTTACAAAATTTAAAAAAAAAACAATGTAGAGATGATTACAAAGAACTTCTAGAGTTGACTGTTATTTTTTTAGGTGAAAACCCACCAAATGGTATATTTTTTCACTATCCTGGTGCTTTTCACCATGCCAGGTGGATGTCAAAGGCAATTTATTCATTCAAAATATATATGTTTCGAAAACAATTTAAACTTAATGTTCGAGAAGAAAATGCATTTCGAGATATATGTATTTTTCTAGTTACGATATACGTAGAAGCATGGTTTAGATGCCCTGCTCCAATTGAAGCACCTTATAACGACTTCATATTTTTAAAAAAATTAATCGAATACCCAGATACAGCTATTTCTGAAACAGCTACACATAAATTTTGTGGACACTTATGGTACCTTGCGCCGGAAAGTATAGCCTTATCATTTTTTGATTTTCGGGTGCCAACCGAAATTAAAATTAAAATGGTGGAAGCACTTAAATCAACCCAGAACAATGATGATACAATTAAAAAAATTGTTTTGAGTAAAGAGGGTATAAAAACATTTATAAAAAAAGAATTACATGAATTTGTATCACCGGAAACAGTCAACTTTTTTTAAAGATTTAAAATTGCAGCTGACTTCATAGATTTCCACCCGGATAATTGGAAAGAAAGAGAAGACTATAAAAAAGGAATTAATATTTTAACAGAGTTATCAGTCATAAATGATGTTGCAGAAAGAGGCGTTAAGTTAATTCAAGAATACAATAGTATACTGACAAAAGATGAAAATCAAAAACAATTTCTATTACAAGTTGTAAATGATTATAGAACAAATTACCCTGACTGTAAAAAAAATACATTAATTCGTTCGTAATTTATTAATAAATATTTTATTTGAATGTAAAGTATCTAATTTTCACATTGTATTACTCCATTGAACCACTTCCTATTTATTTTTAATGACACCAATATTTATGTACTTGTGTAGATAAACGGATTTCTTTTTTAAGATTAAGTTTTTCACAGAAATTAATAGATTTACGAGAAATTTTGTCGGAACGTTTTTTATAGAGAATACTTGAATCTACAATTTAGGTTCTATATAATTTTATACTAAATGCAATATATAATGAATTAAATCAAAATAACACTAAAACTACCCTATTTTATGAATATTCAACCCTCTTGCGGCACCTGAAAGGGGTTATTAATCATCCCCAAAGTTTACCCACATAACTTTCGTATGATAATGAAAAAATTGGGTGGGTGAGAAATCAAAAATATTTAACTTTCCTTACCCCCTACTATATAAGGGCCACCCTACTCATCACGCTGTGTCAGATGCAGCGCTCATCAGCCTTCGTCCGAGTGCACTAAGTCGCCCGACACCCCTGCTAAATGTGCACTATGCTCCGG